TTTTTTTTTTTTTTTTTGCAATTTGAAACATCTATCATTGGTGTTACTTTGATAAACATAATGGAACAACTTTGTCCAATATAGTGTCATATTTATATAATATATTTTATATGGCAATACCTGGAGAGGAGGCCTGGTATATAATATTCCTCTCATCATTTGGATCTACCTCAGGGATGACTGTGTGACACACTGCCAGCAGGGACAGAAAGTCTGATATCACTTTCGCTGACACCTGTAAATGTAGTCACATCTTCAGATTCAATGAAAATTTAAAGCTGCAATGGAACTCTCTCCACAGTGCATGAGCTTGGTCTCAGGAACAAAGTTCTAAGACATCCATATAAAAAATTAGATTAGAAATGACAGAAGTTATCTTCTTGTCATACATATACAATCATGTATATTTTAGATAAGTTCTTAACTAAGTTTCCACCATTTTTTTCTATTAGAATGCACTACTGCCTTTGAAGTAGCTAATAGCTTTACTGTACCTGGTATACGAGTGAGGAATTCAGCAGACTACTTACATGGTTACTTTTCAAGTTTTGTATCAGAGTTGGATCAAACACATCTGTGTCATCAGCATCATGTTGACTGAAGTAGCAAAAATAATTGTTTGCAATAAGAAACTTCACGTAGCATGCACTAGAATACCTTGTAAATTTGATAGCTCTACTGATCAAGCCTACAATATTTTTCTTGTTTTTCAACAAAATACATAAACTGAATATCATTCTGGTTAAACTGAAAGTAGGCCTATAAAGCTTATAGAGCTGTCTAAACTCACCAATACGTACTTTAAGTAAGCTCATCTATACATAACATAATAATTAAATGTGGTACATATAATTTCATATACTTTCCCATACATAACAAAGTATTGTGTTATGTATATAATTACCAGTATACCGTATACTAACCCATACATAACCCCAGCAATGCTGCATCTCTTGAACACCATCACATTTCTTGTGAGGGTGCCTGTCTTATCAGAGAAAACATACTTCACCTGAAACACAGACACACTAATTTATATAAAATTTAATCAAATCACTGAGTGAACTAGTCCCATCTGATTGGTCAGGAAGTGATAAAAATGGGATGACATCCTATATCCTTTAAGTCTTGTTTAAATTACTGACAGCATAAGACATCATACCAATATTTGGCAGACTGGTATTAAAATAACAATTTCAAAAATTAAGAAGCAGTCTTCATAAAAGAATGTTCACCTGTCCTAATTCCTCATTGAGATTTGATGTTCTTGCAATGGCTGGGGTATCAGTGGGAGCATAGTACATATCTATATCCTAAAATAAAGGACAGGAACATAAACTGCAGAACACTAACAAGGGGTACTTGAATGTTGATAGAAAAGTTTAACAACAGTTTATTATTACTTTACATCTAAACGAGTTTCTTTGATTTTTATTAAAAAGTTTTTGTAATATAATGATGATAAAACATTTTGTTTTGTATTATTAATTCATGGTAGTGTTTTACATTATGTTGTCTATTTTTAGCATATTATAAACATTAGTCATTAATCAGCATCTGGTAAAAAAAATTCACCACAAATTAACAAGTTAAAATACCTTGGACAGTGAATTATAGACAGTTTTTTTCCAAAATTATAAATAATATATCATATCAAGGAAAAGTCACACTAGTCAAGGGACAAAAGAAATTCTGAAACCACTCACCCAATTTATAAAAATAGCTTGGATGAACTTGACACACTCAATTGTCACTTGAAGACTGATGGGAATGAGGTTGTTGTATAATATGATGAAGGTAAGGAAGTTGTAGCCAAAGTTGCTGGGTGCCATTTCTGAAAAGGACAAAACGTGTTCAAGTATGCAAAACATTACTTTTCTTTTAGAGCAAACAATCCTAAAATAAGGCTGCATACAGTAAATTGAAGGTGCAAAAGTGTACATTCAATTAAAAGAGCAAAGGCAGTCTATAGAGAATAATGTAAAAAACCCAAGCAAGGTCAACTCATTTCTGGAATGTCAGCATTCTAAATTATTCCCTCTACAAATGAGAAACATTTAATCTACCACCATGCAAATTCAACCCTCCCCCCTCACAGACGTGTGCGATGCAGACACACACACACATATACACTTGTGTGCAATGCACACACACACACACACACTATACAGTTTAAAACTAGTTGTACCTTTGAAGGCTAGATACCAATCTTTCTTGTCCCTGCCACTGGTCCATATTTCATTGGCTGCTGCACTGAATCCTGACATAAACAGCAAGATGAGGAAAAGGACTACAATCTGGAAGAGCACAAAGAGATATTTATCTTTTATAAATGATACAGGTAAATTAAATAACTGAAAAAGAACTGAAAAATCTATCATCCACCTCCATCGTTGTTATCTGTTTGTCCTTCCCTGTTTATTCCTTGTTTTGATTTTGACCGTTTGTCAGTCCATCTACATTTTGTTTGGATTTTTTAATGTCAATTTTGTACAGACTGCATGAATTCTAGAAAGAATGCACTTTTTATGGACCAGTATGGCAACATAATTCACCCACTACTTGTCAAACTCACTTGATAGTTGGTGACTTTTTCTACATGAGAGCGTTTCAGAGGAGCACCTGCAGTAGAGTTGAGCATTAACTTGGTCTCATGACCTGTGTACACCGCCAGACCTGGAATCACAACCAGACTAAATAGTATCAGAACAGTTTTAACTCCATGAGATAATGAAATCAAAACTCGAGTTTATCGTTATAGTCTTTTTCAGCAATACTTTTAAGATACAGCTTTGGGTTTCTAGCATTTGTGTTAAACGAATACGAGGCCGGATGGACGGGTACTTAATTAATTTAATTTGGTCACCTACGAAAGTGACAAAACACTGTATCAGTTTATTTCTGGTGTAATTTGGTCCAAACATGACAACAGATATATATAAAGCACAGGTGAGCTCTCACCATATATCCACTTGGTATTTCTCAGCACAGCACCTCGTAGTAACAACTGGTCTGGACCCAGGGGATAGGCCCTGAAATATGAAGAATTATCTAACTACCAAAAAAAAAAAAAAAAAAAGAAGTAAAAAAAAAAATTCATTAAAAAAAAAAAAAAAAAAAAAAAAAAAAAATGCTGCCTTTTTCAATTTTTTTTTACAAATGCAGAGTACAAAAATCTATCAATATCTGAGTGACAATAGAAAAAAAAACTGCATCCCATAATAATACTTACAGCCTTCCAGAAGGTCTGATGTTCCCCACAAACTCATACAGGTGCCTGTTTGGGGTCTCACACTCCACAGTTCCAGAGAGGGACAGAATATCAGCACTGGTCAGCAACTTGGCTGTCTGTGGCAGAGCCTGAAGTCCAAGCAAACAATTCTGTCATTCTTTCAGGGCAAAGCTTTCTCTCATTAAAGATTTTCTCTTTATATTGTGGATAAGAAAATCTAGAAAGATGTTGGGTTTTGTGAAAAATTATCAGAGGTTATTTTAAATGTCATGGGATAGAGTCTTTATTACTGTATTCATGCCTACATACTTCAGATAAAAATAGGCTCAACCTGTTTCCTCTGTAGATCGTACTTTAAACATCACTGTCTATCAACTATTTAATCATTCAGTGGTACATTGAACCAATTTCCTGTCTAAGGGGCTATTCACAATAAATTTTGTTGACCTAACTAGTGCGACTAACATGCCTCCTCTTGTTTCCAAGCTACTTGTATAATCACCAGCTTTTCTATATTCTATTCAACATCAGGAGGAGACCTGTTAGTCTGTTAATCTAATTGCACTCAGCGAGATTTCCAGTGGAGTTAGTGCACATTGGCTTGGTTGAAAAAAATCATTGTGAATGGTCCCCAAAGTAGTCAGGTGTACATGCAGCTTTCTATTAATTTCTCTGATCACATCTCTCAGCTTGATGACAAGCTGCAGGAATATCCCAGTGGAATCATCTCCACGTCTGCTACAGCTTTAGGAAAAATGTTCCCTGTGAAAAAAATCAATTTTCTGTCTTTTCTTCAGCATATCAAAAAGCCAGGAATACCCCAATAACTGATAGCATGAATAATTCAGTGATTAGCGCTCTGCAGCAACATGCTGTCTTTGAAATGGGTGGTTTGAGGGTATGTGTTTACCTTTTTTTTTCAAATATTACTAAAAAGTGTTGTTCTTTGACATTTATTTGATCAATTTTGCTTGGATTTAGTGAGCTATTTCTAAATTTGAGAATGTATCCTCAATGATTGGTGAGCTATTTTGGAATTCATATTGTTGGTAAAGTATTATAATTATATCTATCTTCATGTATCTATAACTATGTTTTAGTAATGGTATCTTTACCTGTCTTATCTTTAAATTTGTTTCTCCATCCAGGTTGGACGTCTCCACATAACACATACCTTGAGGCTCACTGGAAAACATTGCAATTACCATAAATAAAAGATGTATATATTAAATCTTGTGTCACGAAAGGTTGACCTGAAAAAGCTGTTTAAGCAGCAGTCTGGCTACATTAAATTCAGCTTACTACGAACTCATGAAAATACTACAAACTCATGAAAGGGAGTACAACCCCCTATTGTGTAATAATATATTAATGTACTTTGCAAAAGTATACTGCTCAATGTAAGGCGCTGTTCACATCCAAGTTGATCAGGGGACTAACTGAGCCACATATCACAGGCCCTATTTTTTCAAAAAAATGAACCCCCCATTTGAAATTGCTGGCTACGGGCCTGTATCAAATATGGCGCGACCCACTTGAAAGCTTGCTGGGTAATCCTTGTTGGGAATCTTTAGATGTTTATGCAACAAGCTGTCAAGTGGGTTATGCCATTGGCAGCTCACTTAGTCCACAGATCAACTTAGTTATGTACAGAGTCTTAGTGAAAAGAACCTTGTATGTAGACTTACCTTGAAGATAATAAGACTAGATCTGTTGGGAAGAACTCCCCACTGACCACCTTGACAAAGTCCCCCACCACAACATCGGTCCATTTGATCAACTGCCAGTCATGGCGTCTTAACACTAAAATTGAGTTGAAGATTTTATTAATTCCCATACATATCACCATATGAAACAGGCCCAGAAAGCATGCTTACACAAGGCTTACAAAAGGATGCCAATTTCGGAAAAGATTCAGAAAGACATCATTTGCAGGGATATTTGATGCACTGACAAGTAAGAAAGGACTTGAAGGCATGGCAACTGTGAATTTAGTCAACCGTCACTGTTGTCAATACAACATGTATTATCATCTCATTCAAGCCAGACTGATCAATACTGGTGCATCCTGTGTTTGAAATCCAAACAGAGATTACTCTCTTTATCTACACACAATTCCAGTCCCCAAGCAAGCACCTGTCAGTGTAGAGAACAGTCTCAGTTAGTAGTCTAGAACCAAGGATGGATCAATACCTTCATTCTGGCCAGAATGTGGTCTGGCAAATCAAACCAACTCCCAAGAGAAATCAGCAATGTGTTTTAATTAACCATTTAGCTCCCTCAGACATTCAATATGAATGGCATTAATAAATAAGTATTTGATATGTACTACATGGCAAACCCATGATACAAAGACAATCTGCCATAACTTGAATCTTTAAAAAGATTTGTTATTTCATCGCATGGAAGCTTTTATCTTTTAATTTTAATTTCTGACTTTTGGTATAGAACAGAGGAATAAAAAAACATTATGTCTGCAGGTTGATATTATCATAAATTCTCAGATGTCTACAAAGAAGCACTCACCCCATACTTTTCTGTTGTTCACCTGCCCATCAGCTTTATGCCTCTTCTAAAAGAACACAAAAAAAAAAAAAAAAAAAAAAAAAAAATATATATATATATATATATATATATATATATATATATATATATATATATATATATATATATATATATATATATATATATATATATATATCAAAAATATTTCAAAGAAAAGAACATGTATTCACAATAATTTATAATGAAATTCAAAGACAATGTTCCTATGGCATGTTGTGCAATTGTTTTATGGCAAAACTATATTTATCTACCCATTAGGGCATATGCTTTACTGATGTGTGTTCTAGGAATCTAAAGCATTTCACACTAAATTTTTTCTCTTCCTGTAATATGGTGGCAAAAGTGTTCAACAGAATATAAATTTCGCTAGAGTCAACTCAGTATAATATTTGATTATTTTTTTAGTTTACTTTAAATGAATTTGACAAAACAACAACATTTTCTTTTGCTAGAACTAAATGTCTGCTACAGTGACCACTGTGTAATGTACATTATACTCTACAGAAAGTCCATAAAAACTGTTACTTACAAAATCTTCAAAGATCTCTTTGACTGCAGATACAGATAAAATGAAAAGCAGTGGAAGTGCTGTAGTGTAGCGACCTGTGGGGGACACATTGGGAATTTGCTGAAACACACAAGAAAAAGAACAAAATGAAAAAGTCCCTTCTTCTATAATTATCACCAAAAAACCTGTTAGGGAAAAAGTATTTTTAATAAAAAACAGTACAGCAGTTGATATGTTAATATATTTCTTTTTTTTTTTACTTTAAGTGTATTTTACTTCTAAATAAAAAATATTTAGGTAAAACTTTTTAGGTAAAATTTTTATTGAAAAACATTTGAAATATGATTTAGTTTTTTTTTTTTTTTTTGACATCTTTTTGTCTGCGTGAAACTTTTTACTTACTTGCAATAAAGCTATCATCAAAAAGAAAATATTGGCATATTTCCTGGACTGCTCAAATAGAAACTTTGGAATGAAAGACAGAATGTTGTACTTTGCAGTGCTGTAAAAGATGAATAAATAGGAAAAGTCAAATTATGTGGAATAATAATTATTATAAAATTTATAATAATTAAAATCTTTATTATTAACTAATGGATGTGCAATAATTCAGCTTATTGTATTTTATCAGGTAAACATAACATTCCTTCTCAAAGAGTGGCCTACCAGTAAAGTAAACCAAGTTTTCTAAAAAATCCATTTCCGACATTTGTTGTACTACAATATGCTGCAAATATACTGAAAATGACCATATGTCAAACTCAAGTACCCTTCATATTAGTATCTGGCATGTATAAGACTCACCATATTTTGTTGCTGGCATAAGACACAGGTTGCTGGTTATCAATTGGGTTCAAATTTACCACTCTCCTCAGGACATGATCCAAGTCATCTGATGTACTGCCAGAATCTGGGGGTACTGCCTCGTTGCCAGGGACATCTAGAATTAAATTAAAACAGACATAAATATCAGATAAATACTGATTTATGCTATATACTCCCTGAGGCAGGCCAAGAGGTGGTGGTGGTGAGGAGGGGGGTGTGTGTGCTTGATGCCAAGCCCAGCTGGAATGAAGGACTGCCATAAATATCTTGTAATACAGATATAGCTGCCATCTATACTTACCTATACTGTTCTATGTGGTGTTCAAATATCAGGATGGGGGTATCTCACTGACAGGTAAATTATTATCAAATTTAAACACTGACATAACTATCTGACAAACAAAGACATACTTCATCTATACTCGAGATGTTCTTGTGTGTGTGTGTGTGTGGGGGGGGGGGTCTATCTATATAACTGCCAAGTTAACCTGGAACGAAAGACAGTGACATAAACCTCTGAAAATACAGACAGATGAGATACTGCACTGAGTCTGGAAGCACTTTAACTGTCAAACAGATAATCCTAAATTCTGGTGGTATGAGAGAGGTTGAAAGCTTTATGGCAAAAAAAGACATACACCTGTACAATTTCAGGTAATCCAATGCTCAAATGTTTAGTCATCATTTCTTGGGAGAACTCAAATCAACTGAACATACATATACATGTATGTACCCCATACTTAGGCTTCGTTCACATGCAATGTCTATTTTCTAAATTCTATTTGCGCTATCTTATGATCACGGTCTGTGCCCTGAATATCCCGCCGCGTAATTACTGGCAGCGCGAGCCAGTTACTTATAGTAACTTATAGTAACTGGCTGGCGCTGCCAGTAATTACGCCGCGGGACATTAAGGGCACAGAGCGTGATCATAAGACATACCGCGAATAGAAAATAGAATTTAGAAAATAGACATTGCATGTGAACGAAGCCTTATACACTGTACATTTTTTCTATACAATATGATAACTTTTGTGTTTCTTATTGCTTTGTATTATTACATAACTTAATTGTGGTGGTTTCTTTAACCGAGTCCCACACTCGCACAGTGTATAATTAAGATACATCTGGTTAAAGCTGGATTTTAAGCCACAGAGACCATACCTATGTTAAGCATACCAGCATGAGGCAATATAATGATATATAAGTAATCTACTTTGTTTTAAAGTTGCAGTATGGTGCAGCATCATATGCAATGATTAATAGTCTCTCAAGCATTTATCCAGGACTGGTGGTAGACTTCACACTTTTTGTTTGTATCCAGGGATTTCCTTCACTCTTTTGTGGATGCATTAACTATGTTTGTATGAACTGGGAATAAGGAAATACGCCAGCAGAACTATGATAACCAAGCCCATAAACTGGGAGTATACATGTATAAAATTATATACAGTATGTAGGAGGGGGTGTTCAGGAAGTTCAAAAGAACCACTTTTTTGACCAGAAAAGGTCCATTTGAATAAAAATTTGATCTAGGTTTTGTATGCCATTCCTCAAGTTGGTCTAGTCATGTAAGAGAGAAAAAGGGACCGATTTTTCAGAAAAAGGAACTCCCTTTTGAAATTACTTTCTACAGGCCCTATAACATACTGTGAGAAGTGAGCAAGTATTAAACATTTCAGGTCTTCAAAATTTTAATAATTTTTTTCCCTCCAAAGTGAAAGCTACGTACAACATTTCTTGAATATGTTATAACTAATTTAAAATCCTTGAAGAGAATTCTTAAAAATTCTGACAGATGCAAATATCTTAGTATAAAAATACTTTCTTATATGTAAAGCCAATGTCAACATGTACATATCAACCCAATCAATATTCTACTTAACACATACAAATACAGTTCAATCAGGCATAGAATTTTGCACTTATTACGTCAATTCTATAAAAACCTACCACAACCAACCAACAGTGTCAATATATTCATATACAGGCACCAATGTAATAACCATAGTAATTATGTTACATGTACCTTCTTCCTTTTTCCAACCTTCTTTCCATTCTGATGGTAGAAATGGTAAGATTTCATTTTCTGGTGGATTCACACACATAGACCCGGTGGACGAGGTGCGATAGCTCCACATGTTATTAAATACAACACCTTGGCATTTTCAACACTTGTACATTAAGCTATTCAGGTCAACCTGCTTCAGGTATTTAACAATAGAAGTGAGATGTTAATCAAGGTCGCAGCACAATTTAAAATCCTGTTGAAGTCACTACCTGAACGTAAGTGAAAGTGCACATGTAGTCCATGCCCACACGTGATACAACTGTTAGACTGAATGTCACTTAATCTAACCAACCAGCTGACAAACTAGTAGTTCTAGCATCCATAATAACAGTTACTTTCCACTCTTCTTCTCCAACACTTAACTTGGTGATCCCACCACATCCATCATTCTTAACAGACAGAATGGCTTGAATATTTAGTAAAGCCACTGTAAATCAATTGGATACATAGCCCTCTGAATGAAAATCATACACTTTAGGAGCTACCCATGTATAATAGGTAAACTGATCTTATCCAGCCAATGTACACTCTCCATTTCTCCCATTGTGCTATCGATTCCTCCAGTCATTGTGGAAGTTGACATGTTTTTTGCATGATTATTGGCACGCTACGTTGCAGACTATAAGCATACAAAATGCTATAGATCCTCTGTTGTCTAGGCATACAAAATATCCATGTGCTTAAATGAACTCTTTGTGTTAAACTAATTTGATCCAATATCTCCCCGACTTCAGCTGTGAGGAGTTCAACATATCAAAGAGACAATTTGGTGATAAAGTGATCAATGATATCATACAATCATGTAGCTGATGTTTGACATGGTTATGATCCTATGCTCAAGTTTGCAACACAAAAACTCTATTCAGAAATTGGTTATATATTAACAGCAGTCTGTACAGACTCCACCTATGCTATCACAAAGGGCTCACCTGAATAATGATTGATTTCATGTGTTTTCTTCATTACCTAACCAACTGATGCATGACCGCACACAGAAACTGCCAAAATTACATGGAAATATATATATATATACCTGGCTTTCATTTTCTTTCAAAATAAATGATTAAGTTTAGTGCACAATAAAAAGTCCTTTTTATGTCAGAGATGCAGAAAACTATTAGTTATACATACAGAATCTGTCATTATCAGCTTTAAACTAGACATACCAAAATGAAAAATCCATCCCTAGGAAATTGTAGAGTTGAAAAAGTTATAATAGTTTTAAACGTACCATTCATCCATCATGAAGAAAGAGTTTCATGGGAAAAATAGTTCTCAATGTGAAAACAAAAAACATATACTGTATATACATGTATTAATCAAAACTAAGTAGACTTTAAGAAATTTATTGGAACTTTAACTATAACACAATACCTGCTGTGAGCCCAAAAATATTGCACGACTAGAAACTATTGGTTTAAAATATGCCCCTTTCAACAATGAACTGTGTAGCATGGACAAGACAAGTACAACATGCCAGTTTAGAAGATCGGATCACTTATTAGTGAACATCAATCAATGATTGAGACAGGGAAAGTGGCATTATCTTCTTCCACCCTCAGAACAGTCTAAAAACACCAGAAGTAGCAAGGCTAATGAAATAAAACAGATTATCTGTCGTATAAGAGGAAGGAAATCAATGATGGCACTTTTTTTAGCCACCAAGGAAAAATATAAATTGCCTTAAGTGCTATATAATGCTTTATCTTTATCCTATAACCCCAAGAACTTAATATAGGTGATGTTGCAGTTAACATTTTTTACAAAATCTGTTTCAGTCAAACCTTATTTATCTAAAGGAGAAGTGGATGCTTCATTACAATTCCCCATTTGTAATCAATTTGTAACCCCACCCACTCCTTATTTTTCTATCATACACTTTGGGGATAACAGGCTGCACAACAGGGACTGCAATCAAATTTGTGAGTTGTACTAATGTTTTTTTACACAATCAATCCACTTGTGGCTATATTTAAAGCAGCAGTCCGTAAGCACTTGATAAGTGCAGCTCGATCGAGACAGAAAGTTGTTCAAAGAGGGCAAAGAGAGAGCATAAATTTGACTTAAACAGTGACGTAAGAACTGTATAGACTCATTTATTAATTCTCAACTATATATGCTATCTTAATAAAAAAATAATATAAAAATTTTGAAACAAAGAGATATTCATAGACACATAGCAAACAAGGGGTAAAGATTCCATTTATCACTTAACAAATGTTTCGGACAAAATCCTTGATATTCAAGGTTTCTTTACATAAGTTTTTGAAAATTAATCCTCAACAACCTTCAATGCACATTAGACAACATAAAGAACACTGCCGTCTTATCCATATCTTGAGCATTTTCACATCCTCCTCTGGACTCCCTAGTGACCCTTAGTCATAAGGTTAAGTGATCACGTATGAATAATTGACCAGAAAGCCGTGGTCACATATTACATTATTGTACATATAGCTACTGATCTGATGCAACACAATACCGAACACCAGATGTGTTTTGAGTCAGGCACAACTAACACAATAGTAATCTACTGGATGTCACTGGGTGTACAACCAACCCACTGTCTGGATTTACAAGTTCTATTCTAAAAAAAAAAAAATAAATAAATAAAAAAGCCATCCAGTCCTCTTCGAAAATATTGGCAGTTCAGTGATTCCACTGGCCATCCAAATGAAAACTGACCAGTTCGCTGGGAAAATACTTGAGTCAATGACCCATGCTTTGTTGACAAACATATATAGCACAGAGCTGCAAGGATGAGAAAATGCTTGACAAATTCTTGCTCATTTCTGTATATAAACTCTTCACAAAAGATAGAGATAAAAAATTGCCTGAATTTGCGTATCATAAACTCTCCCCTTCAAATGTCAGATTGTGAATATAAACAGTCATGCAATATGAAAAAAAAAAAATTAAAATTAAAATACTAGTACAAGTCACTTACTAGTATAAAAGTAATGTACAATTAGCGTGACCCAGCATTTATCAGAATGAACCGAGTACAGATATATACTAATGCCATACAACAATATAAGTATATATATGAGTATATAAGTATATATGTGATAAAAAAAAATAAAATAAGAATAAGAAATACAGTATACATATACAGTATATATATATATATATATATATATATATATATATATATATATATATGGAGTTCACAGGTTTTTGTTTACACATATGTTAACAAAACAAAAATAAGGTTTTCGTGGTAAACCACTCAATTTACTTATCTCCCTTTTGATCATTTTGATCACTTTCTACACTGCATCTTATCACATTCTATCAATGAAGAAAAAAAAACTAAATTAATTATCACAACTTATTGAGGCTGTATTATTTGAGGTCAGTACTTCAAAAACAATTATGTTTTGCCAAAACGTACCCTAACACATTATCAGGTGATGCAAAACAAGTTTCCTCAGAGAGATGAGTGAAGCATCCCTTG